CGCGGTCCCCGGCCCGGGCGGCGGCGGCGGCGCCTGCGAGAACCCCGAGAAGTTCCAGTACGTGGAGAAGAGCCGCTCGTGCGCGCCGCGCTGCGGGCCCGGCGTCGAGGTCTTCTGGTCCCAGCGCGACAAGGACTTCGCCCTCGTCTGGATGGCCGTGTGGTCGGCGCTGTGCTTCTTCTCCACGGCCTTCACCGTGCTCACCTTCCTGCTGGAGCCTCACCGCTTCCAGTACCCCGAGCGCCCCATCATCTTCCTCTCCATGTGCTACAACGTGTACTCGCTGGCCTTCCTCATCCGCGCCGTGGCGGGCGCGCAGAGCGTGGCCTGCGACCAGGAGGCGGGCGCGCTCTACGTGATCCAGGAGGGGCTGGAGAACACCGGCTGCACCCTCATCTTCCTGCTGCTCTACTACTTCGGCATGGCCAGCTCGCTGTGGTGGGTGGTCCTCACGCTCACCTGGTTCCTGGCGGCCGGCAAGAAGTGGGGCCACGAGGCCATTGAGGCCCACGGCAGCTATTTCCACACGGCGGCCTGGGGGCTGCCGGCGCTCAAGACCATCGTTGTCCTGACCCTGCGCAAGGTGGCCGGGGACGAGCTGACCGGGCTCTGCTATGTGGCCAGCATGGATGCGGCCGCACTCACCGGCTTCGTGCTGGTGCCCCTCTCCTGCTACCTGGTGCTGGGCACCAGCTTCCTCCTGACGGGCTTCGTGGCGCTCTTCCACATCCGAAAGATCATGAAGACGGGTGGCACCAACACGGAAAAGCTGGAGAAGCTCATGGTGAAGATCGGGGTGTTCTCCATCCTCTACACGGTGCCTGCCACCTGCGTCATTGTCTGCTATGTCTACGAGCGCCTCAACATGGACTTCTGGCGCCTTCGGGCCACAGAGCAGCCGTGCACAGCGGCCACCGTGCCCGGAGGCCGCAGGGACTGCTCGCTGCCAGGGGGCTCCGTGCCCACCGTGGCTGTCTTTATGCTCAAAATCTTCATGTCGCTGGTGGTGGGCATCACCAGTGGTGTCTGGGTGTGGAGCTCCAAGACTTTCCAGACCTGGCAGAGCCTGTGCCACCGCAAGATGGCTGCTGGCCGGGCCCGGTCCAAGGCCGCCTGCAGGGCCCCCGCAGGCTACGGCCGGGGCACCCACTGCCACTATAAGGCCCCCACGGTGGTCTTGCACATGACTAAGATGGACCCCTCTCTGGAGAACCCCACACACCTCTAGCGACAGGCCTGGCTCCAGGTGGTGGCTGCCCCCTCCCAGCCCTCCTCTCCCACCCCCCAGAGACAGCTGACTAGCAACCGTCCAGCTGTCAAGGCCAGGCGAGTGAGTGCGAGGGGCTGAGGCTCAGGATGGGGACCCAGTGAGGCTCATACCCTTGTGCCCCCTGATGCAGGGGGTGGGGCTGCCTGAGTCCCCAGAGGGTCCTAGGAGAGGGCTGGAGAGAAGGAGGGGGCAGAGAGGACATGGTCCCGCAGGGAGTTTATTTAATAATGATGTAATTTATTGCTGCGTTCTCTGGAAGCTGTGACTGGAATAAACCCCCGTGTGGCACTGCGGACTCCTCTCTGGGCTGGAAAGGGAGCAGGTAGGAGGGTGAGGGTCCTGCAGGAAGCTCCCTGAGTGGCTGAGCTGGCTGGGGTACTAGGCTCACCGCAGACCCCCGACCTCTGGCTCCGAATCAATCAGGAGAAAGTTCCCCTGAGGAACAGCTGTATTTTTCAAGTCACAGACACTGTGTGTGTGTGTGTGTGTGTGTGTGTGTGTGTGTGTGTGTGTGCATGCGTTCCCCTCTGTCTCTGGGACCTGAGTAGCATGTCTCTAAAGTGGGACTGGGATGCCTGCCAGGACACTCAGGGAATCCCCAGGGATGACATTGCCACCTCTGGCCCTGGGGTGTCTAGCCAGCTTGGGGCCATGGATAAGTTTTCCCTTTCTCACTTTGCTTTCCTCATTTGTGTAGAAAATGAGGGCGTCAGCCTGTCTCCAAGTTGTCTGAAAGATCCCCTTCCCTGAGGACTGAGGCTGGAGTATGACCATCCCCATGAAGGTGGCCAGTGTGTCCACTTCCCTCCGCGGAGCCCTCCCATCCCATGCCGGAGGGGAAGACGGGGCTGGGCTGGCAGCGGCATCTGGGGAGCACAGACGTGGGCCTGGAAAGGGCGGCCTGGAGTTGAGTGGGAATTGGGCCCTGGTTTGTGAAGCAGCAGCAGGACTGAGGTGCGGGTGGCTGCTATGAGAAGGAGGCAGGTCCGGGAGTTTGCCGCGCTCCACGCTGAGACAGCGTCACACCTTCGTGCCGGGAGGTAGGGAAAGGGACCGTGAGTGTCTGTGTCCTGGGGAGGGAAGCTCAGGGCTGCTGGGACCTACCTGCCTCTGTCTGACTGTAAGGCAGCTAGGTGTATGTGGGCATCCGAGAGGCCTCTTGTCAGTTTGGGATCAGGCCCCGGGGGCCCGTCTTGGCATCTGCCTTGTCAGCTGACTCCAGGCCAGGTGAGGTCTGGGTGACCATCCCTGGGTGTGTGCTACACACATCCAGCTTTCAATATCAGGCGATGCAAAGGGCCTAGCCCTGCTCCCAGCCCCCTTTAGAGCCAACGGGAGGCCAGGCTAGGGAACACCCTCCGCGCCCATGTCGCCTGCTTCTGTCAGTAGGAGCACGGAACCCCAAGCGCAGGGCCTCTCGACCTGAGTGCTTTGCCCCGTGCCAGTGGCCACAGGGACAAGGAAGTCTGAAGAAAAGCAATCAGGCTGGGTTAAGCCCACAGGCAGGTCTGTCCCAGGGGGTTAAGGCCCACCCCCACCAGGAGGAGCAGAACTGACCTGATCCCCAGGGGAACTGTAACTGTGACCCCGCCTCCCCCACCTATGCAGGTTCTTGCACAAGGAGCACCCTCACCTCACCTTCCCTTCCCGCAGAGCGTTCACGTCTCCCCATGCTTTTGAGCAACAAAGCCAAGTGCCTGGGCTCCTTGTAGCTCCCCATGAGTGAGGGTCTGTGCGAAAAGGAGCCCCCCGGGGGGGGGGGGGGCGCTGACTGCGGGAACAGGATTCCAGACGCCTGGCAGGAGATAGGCAGGTGGCCCTGGGGGCCAGCATCACAAGGGCGCCCCGAGCACCCACTTCCCTCCAGGGGCTCATGGCCGGTCCACTCGGCACAAGCCCAGTGCTGGCCCGCAGCGGGACGGGGAGAAGAGCTGGGGATGCAGAGGACCGCAGTGCAGGGTCCACAAGGCAGGTCCCAAGGGGCTCTGCTTCCAGCTGGGAGGGTTCACAGTGGCCCAGACAGGGAAGAAGAGCAGCTGAGGCCTCCTCTAGCCCTGGAAGCTATGAGGAAGTGTCCCAGACCCCATAGGAAAAAGAAAGGAAGCACATGTCCAGTGACATCCTCGCCCCCATGTAAACTGCAAGTGTGGAGAGGGCTCGGCCGGCTCGAAATCAGTCAGCAGTGGGCCGCACTGGGCGTGAACCAAGTCTGCCTCCAAGAGACTTGCGATCTCTACCATGGATTTGATTCGGTCCTGTGTGAGGGACAAGTGTGTAGCTTACGGGAGAAAGGAGGTGGGCGGGGAGACAAACTCACTTCCCACAGCTGGGCCTTCTCATCCTAACCCCCCAAAAGGAACATTCCAGAGCCAAGCTAAGGTACCTCAGAAACCAACATGGGGGCCATCACCAGCGCAAGCCCCATCCCCTTCCCACCCGGTTCTTGATGTTCAGGTGCAGCCGGCGTGCCCAGCCTGGCCCGTCCCGTGGGTCTGAGCTTGTGGGTGTGAGGCTCTGAGTTAACAGAGCTTCCTAGCCTTGCTCTGTCCCAAGGTAACACGGAGGCGGCTCACTCCCAGAAGTGGCACCTGAAGGAGGAAGCTGCCAGGATGTACAAAGGCTGCAAGGCCTGGGAGGGAGTCAGGACAGGGCAACAGGGCGCCTCTCTTCCCACCAGGACCCGGCTGGTTGGTTAGGGCCCTTCCTCCCCGGGCTGCTTTAAAATCCAGACAGGAGGTGAGAAGGCAAGAGTGGAGGTCTCGGGTGACTCCTGGAAGTAGTGGTTCAGACCCATCCTCAGGAATAAAGCTGTCACGCCCCGTTTACAGTGGTCACTTGGTCATCACCAAAGTGGCTCCTTCCCTTGAAATTACGGGCCTGGCAGGGAATGGATGGGGGATGTGCGGAGATGTCCAGCAACACCAGGACACACGCTAGAGCAGGACCTGTCCCGACAGGCACTACGACCAACACAGGGCTTCTCGGGGTGGCTGGGAATGCTGAGCGCTACCCAGGGTCTAAAACATGTTGAGGTAAAGCAGGGCATGGGGACACATGCCTGTAACGCCAGCATGTGGAGGCTGAGGCAGGAGGCTTGTGAATTCAAGGCCAGCCTGGGCAAGCTGATGAGCCATCTCAGCACAGGTCTCTGCAGAGCTGGAGGCTGGAGCAGACAAGCTGGCCGCAGCCAGTCTGATGATGTTGGGAAACCTGCTTCCTCCTCAAAGGCCTGAGAACCCCTAAATGCCTGGCGCAGGCCCTGTCTGAGGGCCACGTTCACCATGGCCAAGCAGCCAGCGCAGGGCTTGCACCGGATGCCAATGCTGTCCCGGTGACCCTGCTCAGGTGGTCGGGGTGGGCGGCTCTTCCCAGTACCCAGCACCGCAGCAGTGGCTCAGCGAAATCTTTGTATTCCACAGGCAGGTTGCTGGCCCCGCAGAGACCTACTCAAATCAACCTGACTTTAAAAAATAAATGAGTATAAATAAAACAAGAGTGACCATGTGTTAGAACTGTGCAAGCCGAGTACATGGGAATTCATTACACTTTTCACTTTCTGTGTATGCTTGAAATTTCCCCGGAAAAATATTGTCCAATGTCATGAGTTTCCCAATATTAAAGGAACACACAAATTCCCACAGTGAAGCCTTAAAGAATACTTCCCCCCCAATTCCACATGAAATTTGGGGGTTCTGACCGAGACAAGGCCAGGACAGGCTTGGCGGTCACGGCCCATCTAGCCAGGAATAGGGACGGTGGCCGTTCCTTTCCCTCAGGACCAAGTGAGCAAGTGGGCAAGCCGTCATTCCAGGAGCCTCTGGCCCGGGGAAGCCGCCTCCCGCTGCACTACCTGCCACCACCCAAGAGCACAAAGAAAGCCACCACGACTGTTTCTTCTTTATAAACACAGGTACATAATGTTTATTTGAAATCCCAATTTATTACAAGTCACCCTTTCACAGGGCCCTTCCTCCTTAAAGACAATTTAAAAACCAACCAACAATGCGGGCGTCACTGCGGTGGGAACACAGGATTCTCACTAGAACAAGGACAGACTGGATCTATGACAAGAAGCAGGGAAGGTGGCGGCGGCCAAGGTCAGTGCTTGCTCCAAGCCTGCAGGAGAAGGGAGGGACCTCACCTACCAGCCACTGGAGCGAACTCCCCACAGGCTCCCACCTACATCGTCCGGTCAAGAGGCTTTACTCTTCTTGGTCTGAGGGGCGGCGACCCCCGGTGGGCTAAAGAGCTGAGGTGCTCATGTGTTGATAGAAAAGAAAATTAAACCCTGTCTTACACTTTTATCAAAAATGTGTCATAAAAGGGAAAGAAGACTACAAACTTTTGCCTAAACGTAACAGCTAGGCTAGGCTGGTGGCAGCGGGAAGCTCTCAGAGATGTTCCTGCCGCCCCTCCCACCGAGATGCGCAGGTCACATGGGCTCCAGTCTGAGGCCGGAGTGGGGATGCGGGAGGCTGGGCCACGGAGGCCGCAAGAGCCACTGCGGAGGCAGAGGCCTGGAGCACCACCAGACCCCACCGCCTGCCTGCGCGGGCCTCCGACCCAGCTTCTCTGAAGGAGCGTGGCTGGATGAGGGAGGACGGGGTGTAAAGCAAACACATCATCATATAAATTGTACTGTACATGTGCCAAAGCAAGATGACAAATATTTTACAAGATGTTCTTTATACAATATCACTGCTAAAACGAGCAACTTTTAATAACTAGAAAAGTCAATTTAAAAAAATTAAACGTTACAGTCTTCCTGCTCCTCTTCCGCTCCCGAAGAGCTTGTCTGGTGAGTGGGTGGGCTGGGCTCCAACACCCTCTGGCCAGATCACTGAAGTAAAGGTTACAAGCATGATTACAAGCAGGACACCGGTCTCTAGGGAAGTGCCTTAGGTTTGTTTTGTTTTCTGAGGGGGTGAGATGAGGTGGGAGTAGGGAGCGAGCTGTCACAAAGAAGGGGAGGGGTATGCAGGAATGGTTCCAGGGAATGTCCCTTTACTCTGCCAACCTCAATAGACCACAACTGTCCCATGATGCTGATAATACAGAGTTCTCATGGCACTCACTGATACTGTCACCTGAGAGGGAGAGGTGGAAGAGACAGAGTATGGGCTTAAAGAAACACGATTGTGTATAAATACAGATTAAAAAGAAAATCAACACCACCTCCCCAATTGGCCTGGTTCCTCTTGATCCTGCTATGTAACAGTCACCCCTCCCTGGAGGCCAGAGGGGCGTGGCACTGCTGTGGGAGCCAGTTTGGGAGGAACCTTAGGAAG